GAGTTGATTTAGAAAATGTCTCCTGTGCTTCTGATTTCGCTGTGACGTTGAGTGATTTTGGATGAGGAGGGCATTCCTATCACCTCTCCTCTGCACCGTCACACTCCTGATGAACAGCTGGGCACACTGTGTGGAAAACATAGATGTCTGTGAATAATCACCTATCATATTCTTTGGGGAGACAGTGAAAGCCAAAGCCTTAAAGCAGAGGGTACTTTCACTGTGGCTAAACCCATCTTTTGTATAAAGTCTGTCCCAGAATTCGTGACAGAAAAGCTACAGTTAATTATCATTATTATTAACTGTTAAAATGGGCACTTACAAGTTTCAATATCAGCTGATGCCAACTTCCCCTTTGTTCCGAAGTGGATGCGGATGAATTTTCCCTGGAAAAGTTTAACATGTGAGCTGGGACACTATTTCGACCATTGGACGTCTCTGGTAATCAAGCTCTAAGCTAAATAAACTACATTTAAAGGAAAAAACAAAACAAAGTTATTCTTAAAGCTCACATCACCTGATATAATCAGTTGGGGGTTTTTTGTCATTATAACAGCTGAATTTTCTTAGTATGATAGCATGATGTCAGCCTCGGCTGGTCTTAACTCACAAATCGAGACGAGTTGTCATTTCTCACAGTCTTGGCGTTCCCGAAAGCTTCCAGCAGAGGGTTAGCCTGGATGATTTGATCCTCCAGAGTCCCCTTCAGGAGAATAAAAAGACATTTCAAGTTCTTTTCATTTAAATTAAGGTAAAAGCTTTCAAATCTTTTGCTCATGTTTCATCTCTAGATAATTAGAAGATGAATTAATTGGACTGAACCTGCATTTTACTGCCCGGTTGTTCCTTCTTGCTTGACTCTCCCATTGCTGTGATTGTTGCAAAGTACTGGATTACTCGCTTTGTGTTGACTGTTTTCCCAGCACCAGATTCTCCACTGATAAAATGTGACATCAGACAAACGATGGGAATGAAATATATGCACAACGCGAAAGTAAACAGCTAATAAAGTCATACTTACGTGATCAGGATAGACTGATTCTCTCGATCTGAAGAGAAGAAAGAAAGTGGATGATATCGGAGTTTGAGGGGCTGATGCATGTTTGTGGGGTTTTAGGCTTTGAACTGTTGTTAGTCTTTAAATAGAATATTTCACTATAATTTTTACTATATTTTATGTCCCCTGTGCGTCTATTTAGGAAAGGAATGTATGAGTGAGAGATAAAAAGTGCTTCAAGTCATGCAACATACAAATCTGTGCAAAATTCTTGAGCCAGCCAGCCTTCTTTTCTTTATATCTTACTTCCAAGGAGCCAGACTTTGTTAAAGTGGTCTTGAGCAACAGTTCTCCTAGCTTTCTAAAGGTCTTTCACAGTTTGTCTTTGGAGACTGGATGCGTTTACACCCATTTTCAGTCCAGTCCTTGTACCTGACCATTTTTATAGGGTTTTCTTTTTTGTTTGTTTGTTTTGTGTGCGTCAGGTTTGCAGGTCCTGCAGGTTTTAGACATGTCCTTGATCCAACACAGCTGATTTAAATGGGTTAATTACTTCCTCAACATGTTTTCTCCAGAGGCCTGGTAATGAACTCATCATTTGATTCAGGCGTGTCGATCCAGGGTAACATCTAAAACCTGCAGGACACCGTCCCTCGAGGCCTGATGTTCCAAATCCCTGATTTAAAGAAATAAGGGGTGGCTCAAGACTTTAGCACAGGACTGTCGTTCCACCTGAGAAGGTCGTAAGAAGCATGAGAACTTCTTCTTTTCTTCCGCATACACACCGGTTGCTTCACATGCTGAAGATCTCCGTGGAGGACTGTGTAACACGAAGCCTGAGCTGTCAGTGATTCCTGTTTATCTGTTTTATGTTTGAAGTGAAGCTAAAGCTGAATCACTGAAGTCTCTATTATAAGGTGACTGCTTTCATCTGCAGTGCGTTAATTAAGTTGCTCTACTATTTAGTTATCCTGTGTGCACAAGATAAACAACTTTTTCTCACAATATAATTAACTCGTGCACTTCTGATAATTAGATTTATCCACTGTGCACGACACAGACACAGCTTACACCACCTTTCACCTCAGGACTAATATTTGTTTTTCACAATAAAACTAAAGAAATAAGTAAATACAAATTATTTTGTGCAAAATTGTAATTACACGTTGGACCTGGTAAAAGGTAAGAAAAACATGTTAACAGGACTTTTTATGTATTTCTTAAAAGCTGTATGAGTATTGCTTTTTTTGCATATATGCCTGTAATTTTGGTTATTTAATATTGATCTTTTTCATTTCATTGCATTTTGTTGTGAATTTTTTTAGGATGTTTAATTTGCATTTTGTAAATATTGGATAGTACATCAAACTTTTTAAAGTAATTATGCTTTTAATTATCTAAAACTATACACAATTTTAATTGAACTGTTAATATAACTCAAAAAATGCATACAAACATGACACTAGTCATGCCAATAACAATACTATGGGGCCAGACCTGTAAGCATGTACTGGTAAGCGTTGTCAGAGATGGAGAAGATGTGTGGGGGGGCCTCCTGGCGTTTCTTTCCTCTGTACCCGGCCACCACCTCTGGGTTGTAGACCGGCAGCCACTTGTAAGGGTTCACAGTCACACAGAAGAGCCCAGAATACGTCTGAATTAACAAGAAAAAAAACCCCAGAATACAGACTGTTGGTATTGAATTAAAGTTAAAGATATTGTGAGTCACAGTTGTCCTTACATAAATCATCCAGGCAGCGTAGCGTTCCTTGAGGTTAAAAAGCACGGCGGGTTCGTGCAGATGCGTCAGCAGGGCCATGTCCTCTATCTTGTCAAACTTGGGTGGGTTCATTGGCCGAATGTCATCCACATGCACCGTGACAACCTGAAGTACGATTTCAAAAAGATACATTGTAAAATAAATGACAGATAAAGACAGAAAAACAGATATAAGATGTCAGAAATAGTCAAATAATAGCTGGAATCTTTCACCTTTCCATCCTCAATCTCCACATTGACCTTAGTGCCATCCTGGCTTCTGATTTTTCCTTCGACGTACTCCTGCTTCGGGTGAGGCACGAAAACGGCACTTTTGGCATCAAACGGCATATTCTGAGCTGCAATTCTCTCCCGCTCAGATTTACGCAGGTATGGGGCGGCCACCCCAAATACTTCCATGTCCGTGTCACTCATTTTGTTGAGCTGAGCGATAAGGATGAAAAAAGAGTTTAAAAGTGAACTGAAGATGACGAGAAATTAAAAAAATATGTTGCTTACCTGAGTCAGAATTTCCAAAGAATGCTTGAATCCCAGACGTTTTAGAGCCTTTAAATCATAAAAAATGACCGTACTGTCTGTACTGTTGTTAATTTTCCAATGGTACACCACAGACACCTGACTAGACACCCTCACCAGACTTTGACAGCTTTTATAAGAGATGGTCGGGGGTTCTGCTTCACCTATATTTGGAGATCTGGCTCTCATGCCACCTCGGATGAGCAAGTATGTCCATTTTGTACTTCAAACTGTCTATATATAGGTGTATTGTGTCACTTTTAAACTGTTTCAATTGTAATCCTTCAGACTTTCCATTAAAAAGCAATGAATGGCATGGACAACAGCTTTGGAAGCTTACTGTCCCAACATGGCAGGCCTAATTTTCTGGGATCAGGGAAGATTAGTTCTGTTGGGGCTTCGCTAAAACTCTGGAGAGCAGAGCCTGTCACACACACCACTCTATTGGGGCAGCTGGGATAGGTGGGCAACATTAGTGCGTCGAGCATTTATTTAAAAGAAAACAATAGGTATTTGCTTTTTATTCATATTAACCAACATATTGATTAATTAATAAAGCTCTTGAGTCTCTAGTGTTTTAACATCAGGTAAAGTAATACAATGCATGCAAAAGTATTTGTTCTCTTTTACTTATAAAAAAATAGAAATGCAGACAATTATCTCCCTCAAATGTCAATTTAAAGTGTGTAATAACGCATGAAATGACAACAACTCCCAGACGTTTTAAGAATCATCATGAGACGGTGTGTCAGTTAGTCACTGAACACTTTATCAAACTGATATGACACAAGAAAAGCTAAATATGGAAGTTTAGTCTTCTTGGACTACTGTGGTGATGATATGATATCATTTAAATAATCTACTTTCCTCAATTTATATTTTAAATGCACAACATTTACTTATTACGTATATTTTACTTGAGGTTATAACTTTAAGCATTTAGGGAGGAATATATTTTCAGGATTTCTGAATTCTATTAAAAATCGTTAGAAGAGTTAATGGAGTATTGCATGGGATGAGATGCTTTAGTGCATCTGACACAGAATCGGTGACAAGCTGCGTCCTGGCTAACATGATTTACCATAAATCCATTTTAAAATCCTTTGAGCAAGTTTCTATTAATGTGTCTCCCTCCCCAAAGATAATATAGTGCAGATATGTGCGTTTATAGGATATGACTGCAGTGTTAAGGCAGGACTTACTGGAAGCTTAGCTGACTGTTTTATCTTCGGATCCAGTGCTATTCAGACTTCCCCACAGAAAAGTCAGGATAATGTTGAGATTTCCTTAATTTGCTTGAGTCTTACAATTTTAACTTTGAGAAAC